CGGTGAAATGGAGGCAGAGGAAGGTGAAGGCATTTGACCTTGGTCATGTGTCTGGGACAGGCAGACCTGGGATGGACTCCAGGCAGCCCGGGTCCAAAGGCTGGGACTCAAGCTATCAAGCTAGGTGTCAAGGGACACAATAGACTGCTATATTCAGTGGACCAGGCTGAGCTGACCACATCACAGGATGCAGCCACCCAGGAAAGACAGCATTGCAAGGATAGGACAATGCACAGCCCCATCTGAAGGCTACTCTGAGTTCCTGGGCATCTGAGTCCCCTGGTGGCATGGTGTTGGCCACAGGGATATTGAGGCTGGCTCTCTCTGGCTGAGCTTGAGTCTCCTCAGCTGTGGCATTCTAGTGTTCACACAGAAGCCAGGAGCTGTGGGAGAGCTGAGAATCCCCGGGCCTGCATACTGCCAGTGGTTTATCTTGCTGTCTTAGTCATTTTCCTCAGCATTGGTTCAAAATACTTGATGCCTGTAGCTTAAGAGAGGAGAGATTTATGTCGGCTCACGCTTTTAGTCCATAGTTGGCTGGGTCCAAGGCAGAAGGTGTGGTGGAGGGGCCTGGCAGAAGGCAGCTGTTCACCACATGGTAGCCAGGAAGCAGGGAGCCTGGGAGAGAGATCTACCCTTCCGGGTCACCCCCCAACAATTGCTTCCATTCCCACCAGACCCTAACAAGTATAGGGCCCCATGGTCCAGCGCTCTTCCTAATGCCCATCTAGGAGTGCATGAGGCTTTTAGCGGGTGGATCAAGATACAAACCATGACATTCACCTTTATTACTTCAGGCCAGTCTTTTCTGGAACTACTAAGCACCCTCTCCCTCATCCTTATCCCATGGGTTAAAAAAGGGGAAGAACCTATGGCTTCACAGAGCAGGAAAATCTGCTCCTTTGGACTGAGCCCAGGGCTCAGTGTGTGGCCAGGTCCAGAGCTCAGTATGTGACTGGACCAGGACTCGGTATGTGACTGGACCAGGACTCAGTATGCGACTGAGACTGGGGCTCAGTGTGTGGCTGGGACTAGGGCTCAGGATCAATCTATTATGAAGGCTGGGGTTTAGTTCAGAGTCTGAGCCTTAATCTCTTTCTTTTCTCCCCTGTTTGATGAGCAGGACATGTGGCCTGGCTCCTGGACACTGTTGGACAAAGCAGATCTGAATTGTTGGCTTGGAGGTAGCATAGTCCCGGCCTCTTACCTACAGCTGTGCCTTATAACCTGCAGGGCTCTGTCTCTGGCGTACAGTCACTACTGCCCCCTCATAGCTTCCTCTCACCTGTGTCCTGAGGGGTGGGGCCCCTCCAGTTGGCTGGAGGGATTTGGACAAGTCCCCTACCTTCCTCCAGCGCCTTTCCCCTAATGTTCTTACAGGCTCCTCAACTCAACTCAACTCTGCAAACTGGACACTCCCTGGAAGCCTGCTTCTCTTTGATGTCACCCACAGGCACTTGGTGGCCTGACTTGAAAACAGGCATTGGCTTTGAAACCCAGGAGACATCCCCCAGCGCTCTCCATCCTGAGGCTGCTCCCTCCTCTCACCCTCTGGACGTCTTCTTGCTCAGATGCCAACAGCTGGCCCCATCTCCATGCCTCCACCTACATCCTCCAAACCACAGCCAGAGTGGCCCAGGTGTGAGTCTGGCTGTGCCCCTTGCTGGCAGCTCCTACCTGCAGTTCAGGATGGAGGGCCGAGCTCAACAGCCACCTGGTTGCATCCACTGACAGCCCAACAGGGGTGGCCTCACCGGGGAGGTGCTCAGGGTGAGAACAGAGGCCCGACCCTGAGCCCCGGAGGACAGGAGGGAGACAGTTGTGCAAGAGTGTGGACACCAGGGACCCACACGTCCCCGAGCCCCAAAAGAAAAGGTGTCAGGCAGGTGGCTGGTGACCTTGGTGAGACTCACTTTGTGGGGGAGACATTAGCATGGGAAACACAGAACTCTGGGCAGGGGACACACTGACCATAGCAGAAGGGAGCTGAGGTCCAGGGAAGACTTGATTTACGGGGCAGACCCAACCTACTCACTGTCTGGACCTTCCTCTGAGTGCCTGGCCCAGCCCATTTGCCAGCTCCACTCACTCTCCTGGCCCCACCCACTTGTCCAGCTCACCAAGGTCCCGGCCCCACCCACTTACTTGCCCCCACCCACTTATATAACTCCATGCACTCTCCTGGCTCCTCCCACTTGCCTTTGAAGACTCCTGCTGGCAGATGTGGGAGGAATGCCTAAGGCAGATGGTCAAGTTCAGATGGGAGAGGCCAGCCGAGCTCAATGTCATGTGGACTGGCTCAAGGTCACCCAGATGCCAGCAGCAGGCCCAGGACAGGATGCTGACGGCTGCCCCTGCTCCTCTCTGAGCCCAGTCTTTGCTGGGGCTGGGAGCCTGTACCCCACCAGCCCTAAGGAGAGGAGGGGCAGGAAACTGGACAGGGGCAAAGGACAGGGGCTTCTGAGGCTGCAGGAGCGGCTGAGCAGCGACAGCTACGAGCTGATTATTCAGTCAGAGAGCTTCAGGTCCAGAGCTGGGAATCTGTGACAGCTCCAGGTCCCAGACCTGCCCCCGCCTTGGCAAGGGATGCTGGGCTCTTCCCTGTCATCTCCAGGCTGCTGATTGTGACTGGAGAGACTGGGTGAGCTGTCCCCCAAGGCCCTCCTGCCATCTTCCGCGAGGTGGGAGGCAGGGGAGCCCGGGCCAGGGCAGGACCGAGCCGTGTGGCAGCCCTCTGCCTGGCAGAGGACGTGGCTGTGAAATGTAAGTAAAACCCAAGGCTAATTTCCTCGGTCAGAAGGAGGAGGCACTGCGGCGTTTTCAAACCCTAATTAAAGCCGCTCGGGCGGTGTAACACCAAAATCAGTTCCAAGATCAATATTGCTATTCATTTAGAAGTGTAACGAGGTTAGAGAGGTGAGCAAAGGAAATAATTAACTCATTTGCAGCCTTTTTAAACAGAAACAGTCATTTTAATCTCCAGGGTAATTAGCTATGCTCTGTCTATCAATCATGACCGAGGCCAGTATTTTAAGTATTTGATTAATCAAGGGGGAGGGGCTAAGACCCCTACCTTGCTCCTCCACACTGACCCCCAGATCTGCAGTGATCCCCGGGCAGGCACAGGGGCACTTCTCGGAGGCTCAGGCCGGCATGGAGAGTGGCCAGCAGGGAGGGGCCCAGGACACAGCAGCGTTGCCAGGTGAGCAGGTCCCCATTTCTTGTCTGTGAGAGGACAGTCCCATCCCAGTGAGGATAGCAGACAGGAGCCCCCTGTTGTTCTTCTGACTTGCAGGTCCCTGCCACCTTCTCTGCATATCTTAGGCAATCTCAGATGCCAGTGGAGTCATCTCTGGTTCTAAGTGCCCAGGGGCCTCCAGCCACTGGAGGGCAGCAGAGCCCCAGGGACCCCTCAACCCAGGGCCCGGCATCCAGAGGGCGGTGGCCAAGCGGAGCTGTCCCTTTGGCTCCAGCTGCTCTGGACAGGAAGTACGACCTGGTGCCATCCTGGAGGCTGTGTGCAGTCTGAGGCGGGTGGCAGGATCATTATCCCTGCTCAGCAGATGGAGACTGAGGCCCCTGTGAGGGTTAGGACTGCCTGGACCCCACAGCCCATGCTGGTCTTCACACCAGGAAGGAGGGTAAAGATGACCCCCACTGTCCTTGGCTTGGTCCAACTGCTGGACTTAGTCACCAGCACCAGCTGAGAAGGTCCGCAGAGACACTGGTCTCTCCCTTCATGTTCCAGATAGGGACACTGAGGCCCAGGGGAGGCAGGGGGTGCTCTACTGTTCTCATTCAGTGTTTGACAGAATACTGAACCCAGAGTCTGCTCCATGCTCAGGAGAGGACATAAGAAATGGACAGTGGACACCCATGGGGCTGCAGCACAGGGTGGCTGCAGCTGGGCAGCCAGGGGAGGCTTCCTGGAGGAGGTGGCCACTTCCTGGATCCCAGTGAGGAGCATGCTCAATGGAAGCCCAGAGGGGTATGAGGAAGCTGAGGGCAGAGGATCAGGCATGGTGACCACGGGCGACACAGGTCAAAGCAGGAGGTGGGAGGGTAAAGGCGACCAGTGTAATGGGTGTGGTGAGAGGCCCGGGAGGAGAGGGAGGAGTTGACCTGCAGGTGCTGGGTGTAGGGCTGTCACCCCCTCAGCCTGCTGCATCCATCCAAAGCCCTGTGGGAGGGAGGGTGACATCATTGTGGCCGGGCACTCTCCTTGATCCTGTCCCACTCTCTGGAGCAGCGGTAGCAGAGAGGGGATGATGCCAAAGGTTTAGGCACTCAGAGGATAGGGAAAGGGAGAGCCGATGGAGGGACAGGGAAGGTACTCACTGGCTGAGCCCTCTGGCCTTCCTTTCTGAGAGTGCCTGGGCCAGGGCTGCAAGTCCGTGGTGTCCTGTGCTAGACTTGCACAGCCCATCATCACTGCAGAGGCCTCTCCTTGCTTGCCTCCAGCTTTGGGAGGCTCATCCCTTCACACAGCTCTCCCAGGTCTCTTCTCCAGTTGCTGGCTTTGAGCCAGGGGTCCCTGAGAGCGCTACCTGAGGGTCTTCCCAGGACGTGGCTGGCCTGTGAGACTGTGAGACTAGGTCGATTGGGCAGGCAGAGCACACTTTGTTATCATCAGCCAGCAACCAGGGAAGGCCAGGGAGCTCAGCTGGCTCCCAGCTGGCATGGAAAATTGGGAGCCTTCTGTCCTGGGCACTTGTCTCCACAGGTTGGGGTGGGAAGGAAGGAAAGAAGGAACAAGGAAGCAGAGGGAGGAGGAGAAGAAAAAGGAGGGAGGGCGGAAGGAGGAAGGCTGGGATCAGGCCTGGAGCTTGGTTGCTAGGGGCAACTGCATTGCATTTGGAGGAAGGACCAGATGCTGAGGAGGGTGCAGGAGGAGGGGAGCTGGGGTCCAGGAAGTAGACCGGGACTCTGTGCTCACGTGAGGGAACCCTACAGTTGGGATCCCAGGAGCCCTGAGTGCAAGCTGCCTCCTGGAAGCTCAAGGGTGGCTGAAGAGCTAGGGAATCCCAGGTATTTCTGATGTGTGAGTGTTGTGGGGCGGGGGACTGGGCCAGCCTCATTTGTCACCTCCCTACAGCCACTCTAGGGCCACAATTTGCCTTGAACTCCGGAGGTCAAGCAGTTGCAGGGCCTGGGTCAGGCGAGGCTGGGGAGAAGCTTAATCTGGCACTGGTGATGGCATCCAGGTCGGGGGCCCTGGGGAGCCCCAGTCTACCCTCCCTCCTCCTCCTGCCTCTACCCAGCAGAAGAGCAGGCAGCTGCAGAAAATCATGAACCGAAGACTCTGGTTCTCTGAGGCCTGCGATCATCCCAGCTGCTTCCAATTTTATTTCCCCTGTCTTTAAAATGAAGCAAATACAGTTAACCTTGTCCTTGAATGTATCAACAGTTAAGTCCACACACATAGGCAGGCCCCTTGTTACAACAACAAGAAATAAAGGAGAAATAAGGTAAAAAGAAAGGATGTCCCATTCACCTTGCATTTACTATATGGCAGGGAGGGCTCTATACCCCCATTTTCCACAGCAGTAAACTGAGGCTTGGAAAACTGGTCAGCAAGAGCCACAGGAACAGTGCAAACTGTAAGACCTGAGCCTTCCCCATCTCTTGACGTTGCTTCCACTTGGTCCCTGGACCAGAATTGGTAACCATGGACCAGAACTCTCTCTGACATCCGTGCTTGCTCCACACATGCCCTGGACTCCTATAACTGCTTCTTGTACCATGAGCCCCTGTTTAACCCACTCAACTGCACCCGCTTGACCAGTTAACCCCATGGCATCCAAGTACTTGTCCTGCATCTAGCTAAGTCCCAGCCCCTGCTACACACCCACTGTCTGGCCCATTTGCTTCCTGTCTGTCCCACATTTCAGGTTAGGGCTCCAAGGTCAGTGTCTTGGACCAGGTGGAAACCATATGACCCAAGCTCTCAAGTCCCAGGGCATCACCTCTGCCAAACTCTTTTTATCAGGTTTCCAGAAGGACATTGCCCTCCACCTAGGAGCAGGTGCCAGTTCACACTGCAAAAGAGTCTGCGCCCTTATTGGAGACTACAGGCCTGCCCTGTCCCCTCAGTGCCCCACAGCTTCTGCAGGAGCCCTGCCTGGGTTGTGTCCTCTCATGCGCCCCCAAAACCAGAACCAGAGCCACAGCGTGCCAGCTCCTAAGGCACACCCAGTCTTCCTTGGCCTCCTGGTCCTCTGGATCCTGGCTCCTTTTCTCCTAACTGCTGACCCAGACCAGGCCCTCCTGGTGTAACTCCTGGCAGTGCGCCTGAGTCTCACTGTCTGTGTGGCTGGAGCCACTCCCTGCAGCACTGCCCTAGCCTCTCCCACACGGAGGCCTGGCCCCGCTTCTCCCGCTGGAAACTGTCCAGGGCCCCGTGGCTCAGCCAAGCCCGGCTCCTTGCCAGCTTATGCGTGTGGAGGCTTGGCGACAGTCTGTATGCACCCCCCCCCAGCCTAGTGCATCTGTCACTGTCCTCTCCTTGCACCTGTGCTGCCCTGGGCAGCCTCACACAGGCTGCTCCTGGCCCTTGGGGTCCCCTCACCCTCACGGCGCTGTCCACTCAAATTTCCTATGACTGTCGAAACGTTCCGTCTGGCGCTATTCAACATGGTGGCCACTGGCTGCTGGAAATGTAGCCAGCGTGTCTGAGGAACTGAATTTTAAATTCGTTTTTAATGAATTTGGATGTAAATGGCAAACGTGCTGTGGCTGCTGAATGGGAAACACGGCTCAGGAAGCCCTCCTGGGCCCTCAGGGCTGGGCCAGGTGCCCCCCGGTTTGCTCCCATGTGCTCTGCTCTCTGGGGTGTGTTTTGCTGGTCTCCCCCATGGCCTGTGACCCTTAGAGGCCTCCTCCTGTCTGTTGGCAGCTGTGCAGGGTCAGTGATCTTTCTGCACCCAGAGCCATGCACAGACTGGACCTTCCATAAGGACCAATCCAGAGAGACTGCTGGCGATCGGAACGTATGCCCCTGTGTGCAAGTGTGTGCCCACGTGTGCAGGTGCACGCACCCCCTGGCCATGCTGGGACTGTGCAGCCCTGTGTGGCTGAGGACAGTTGTCTCTTGCAGACATGGGCACTGGGCTGGACAGGAAGCGCCTGTGAATCGGCCTCTGTGTAGCTCAAACCCTGTTCATTCTGCTCCTGAGATGCTTCATCTGCATTGCAGACGAGCCCGGCTGCAGGAAGAAGGGCTCCGGCTTTGCTTCCAGGCTTCTGTGCCGCCACCTGTGCGTGACTGGACTCCGTGCACTGGGCAGGCTCCAGCGTCGGCCATCTGAGG